CAGATCGGAGCTGCGTATAGGAGTACCGCTACAACCATTGAGTCCAATAGCCTTAAAGGTGCCTGAAGGGAGTTAACTTTAGTCTTAGTCATGACTGTCCACACGGCACTTATTGCAGACAGTGCCTTGCCCTGGAAATGCTTGGCAACTTGTGTATATGAAGTCGTTGTTGACAAAGGATAGCCAAGATAATTGTACTTTGATGAAATAGCCAGTGGTCTTTCGTCCCAGAACCATTTGTCAGATATTGCGAGTCGACCTCCATTGCGAAAAACCATTATTTTAGACTAATTTTCATTAAGTATTATATAGTTCGTTTCGAGGTATTTCTTTAGTATATTAATCTTGGTTTGCAGATTTATTTTGGACTCCCCCAAGAGAACGATGTCATCAGCATACAAAAGCAAGTGGACCTCTCCAAAACCCGGAAGGCAAATACCCGGTAAATCAGAGCCGTTATACGTGCTGATTAGATCGTTAATAAATAAGATAAAAAGATATGGAGACAACTGCTCTCCCTGCAGCACTCCAGATCGAATCCTAATTGGTTCTGTAAAAGAGCCTTCCCATCTCACAACCGCTTCCATTTTTTCATAAAAACTCTGTATCACAGTAATAAAACCGCTACTTATGCCCAATTCGGTCAATTTTCCCCATAAGAGTGAATGTGCGACTGTATCAAACGCTTTCCTCAGGTCAATGAAGAAAGCAAAAAGTTTCCTTCTGATGAGGCACAATTTGGATTGTAGATTATAAACACAAGGTAATAAGACCAAATCCAAATAAATAAATAGTGTGTGACATTTCGGTAACAGCGTTGTCTGAAGATGGTAACAACGCTGTTACCGAAACGTCACACACTATTTATTTATTTGGATTTGGTCTTATTACCTAAAGTTTCCTTCTCTTCTTTCTTAATGTAAGTTGTATCAAAGAAGTCAAAGTAAACATGTGGTCCAGACAAGAGTGTCCCCTTCTAAACCCAGCCTGGTTTTCAAATAATATTCCCTTGTCTTCTATCCATTTAGTCATTCTGTTTTTAAGAATTGATGAAAAAAGCTTGGAGAAGTTGCTAACAAGTGCAATACCGCGGTAATTTGAGGTGTTTTCAATATCTCCGTTTTTAAAGATAGGGTGAATAATTGATTTGGACCATAACGATGGAAAAGAACCGTTTTCTAAAATTTGGTTGAATATGCATACTAGCCTTTTTAGTTGATCTTTATGGAGGGCCTTGATCGCTTCATTGGGAATGTCGTCTATTCCAGGAGCTTTACCGTTTTTCAGTTTCAAGATTTCTGTCTCTATTTCCGCATCAGTGATTTCACCGTCTAGTAGAGGATCAGAATATCTAATATAAAGTGATATATTTATCTCTGGATTTGAGGTTGTAGAGAGAAGTTTAGCATAAAAAGTTTGCCATTCTGCAATCGATTTTTTGCCCGTTATGCTGCTCCGTTTTCTAAACAGAGATACTGCCTTCCAAAATCGGGCAGAATCTTTGGGCTTCTGAAGAGCTAGGCATATATCTTCATAGAATTTTTTCTTTTTTAATTTGATTAATGCCTGATATTTCTTCCTTTTATTCACATAACAATCCCTGTCTTCAGCTTCATTTTTTGTCATAAACCTTTTAAAACTCTCCTTCATTGTCTTTTTTGCAAGGTAACATTCCCCATCAAACCATGGTTTTGACCTCTCGTCACCCAGTTTTGAAGTGCGCAGCATTCCTGCTTGTGACATTGCTGTCGTAATTTTGTTGGAGAGCTAGTTTATCTGAGAATCTACAGTATCACTCGGGGTAATCTGAGTAGTATCCAGCTCGTCTGGGGACCAGTAATATTTTTTAATACTATTCAATTTCCTTCTCTTATCTTGGTCAGTTTTAGCCATTCGGCCTATCCTCGTTATAATTGGGAGATGGTCAGAATAAGGCATGTCGTCAACGTAAAAATCGACAATGAATTCAAGCATGGCCGGCGAAACTATCACTAGATCAATAACCGAGGATCCTCGATCAGAAATAAATGTATAGTTTCCGCAATTATCACTTTTCGATCTGCCGTTAACTATGGTTAATAGATTATTGTCTAAAAAGTTAGTTAGAGTCTCAGCAAGAGGTTGTATTAGCTTGTCTTTAGACAGACGCCCGGTTGAAAGTACTGTCAGATTTTCCATTAGGTTGTGGAACCCTCCCAGGCTACCGGTACGGACATTCAGATCACCACCCAGGAGTATCCCGTAACCATCCTGTATTTGGATTTCTATATATCTGAATAGTTTGTTAAGATTTTCCATTTGCGAATTGTCTGGTGGAATATACACAAAAATCAAACAAGCAGATGGAAATTCTGGAATTGAATTCTGTTTCAGGAATATAGCGATCCAAAATCTTTCAACTTCCACCTTATGGGTCAAAGCTTGAACCTCGTTTCCTAAACCAACAATAATTCCACCCGAACATCTTCCACGGTTTGCAGTCCTCAAAGCCAATGATTCATAAATACAAAATGTTCCCAGTGGAAAGTCAATCGGATGGTCACACCAGGTTTCCAACAAAACAATAATTTTGAAGTTTTTTAGATAATTAACAACCGGAAACGAAGAACAAATTCTATTTAAACCATTTATATTCCAACACATTATTTCAATGTTATTCATTTTAGGATTTGATATCCTTATTTTTGGATTTACATAATTAGAATTACATGTATAAGGTTTTTTAGCTTTTATAGTGATATCTTTTTGTTTTCAGAACTTTTTTGTGAACATTTATTTGAATGTATTTTATTATGTAATGGTTGTAAAGTTTCTGAGCTGTCAACATCGATTCGTGGCTTTCTAATTGTAAAGTTTATATTAGATTTAAGTGTTTTATTGGGTGGACAGGTTTTGTTTTGATTTCCATCAAAAGGTATATGTTGGTTAGATTTATTTATTTTTAAATAACTACATTTTTTCTCTAGATTATTTTTGTTTATTTGCTATAATTCAGCCTCATTTGGACTGACAATTTTACCATTTACGACTTGGTACTTCATGCCTGCGACAATCAACTTGTTGTCTCTTAATTTCACAAAAGTTCCACTTGTTAAAAGTTATTTTCTTTTGGCGATCAATATTCTATGTTGTTCTCTGATCCCAAGAGTGTAGTCTTTACTTATGTATATTTTAAAATTAAAATTTCTAAGCTTAAATGCATTCTCCGGTATCTGCATCTTGTCTGCAATTATCTGTTTTATAGTGGAGTAGGATTCTTCGGGATCTTCACCCTCATTTCCTTCTACTCCATGGAAAATTAGGTTATTTTCTCTCATTTTCATTTCTAAGAATTCTATTTGAGCATCCATTTCTCGTATTTTCTCCGAGTTCATTGAGACTGATTTCGCAGTGTTATCCATCATAGTTTCTAACTGTTGTATGCGACGATCCAATTTCTCTATTCCTTGTTCAACAGAAGATAACTTTGTCTCTAGTTTCCCATGCCAATCTTCCATCCTGTCAGAGAGGGCAACAATTAGTTCTGGGATATTCTTATCCGGGCTGGGATCAAGTGTTGTCTGCTTAGTGTATTTAGGTTCAGGATTTTGTTCAATACCCGAGATAAGTAGAAGAATATGTATTATTCGTCTAAGATTAAATTTTCTAGAACAAGTATCTATCTTAATAATTGTATTTTTGATGTAAGTTAGATCAATTTCAATAGTCCGATTTGCATATTTATCGTTACTGACACAATTTCCATAGTTAGAAGTCGGGCACAGCCTTTTCTTAATCAAGTCTAAATTAAGTAGTATCAAAATTATAGTAAATTTCATCATTTATTTCCCCTATTCCTATTTTCAAAGTTAATTTAAGTCTTAGTTTACTTTAAGTGTATAAGTATTAAAGTTAGAAAAATAAGATAAAAATATAAAAATAGAAAGTACTTAGCTGGAGCCGACAATTCTTGCTGCGCATCCGTTAGCCACCTAGCAGAGAATTGTCTGCTCAAGGGATATGTTATTGTACATTTTGAAAAAAAAAATGTACTATTTTTTGTTGCTTTTATATATAAGTGGAACCTTTTTAATATAACTTTCTTTTCAACAGCTACTTGGTTATAGCATCATAAGTACCAAGAGTTTATCCATAATTATAACAACAACATATAAATTTTTGGTCCCTAGTGATGTTATAACGTGGTTAAAAATTATAGTATACACACACAGAGCTTCCTTTTCTTTCATTTAAAAAATATACAGGTTTTAGTGATTTTGTTAATTTCTATACAAGTTTCAAAACCAAAGTTTGGAACTATCTTTGCTTTTATCAAATCCAACTCCCTTAAGATTGAAAAAAGAAGGTAATGTCAGAAATTTGCTAATAGCATAAGCTCACACACCCCGATACAGGAGAACCTCTCTGTAAGGGACACCTAGTCACAGAACCAAAGTGTCCTTTAAGGAGATGTGTCTTCTTATGGGTGAGTTGTTAAAATAGTAAAAATGATAATTATGGCGATGAATGATTTGTAGAGAGGTGTTTTCTAGCAAGAGTGTCTTCTCGTGGAGTATGTTCTACTGTATTGGCACCCAGGCTGTAGTTACAGAAGTATTAGTTGTGGGGCCTAATGGCAGATTTAATCTTCTCTTTCTTATCCCCACTCAATCATATTAAAGTATCAAGCTTGTAAAACTTGACAACCATCATGATTGGGTGAATTAAAATGCATCTGCCTTTGTCATTAAGACTGGAAGCACTACTCAGTGGCAGGCCGACTTAGCTCCAAAAGAAATGGCCGCCTCTGACATGAGGAACAGACGCCATGTGCAGCCGCTCCTAATATGGAGTACAAACGCTGCTCATCCTGTATCCCTGGATTAGGAGCCCTTACAGGGTACTATCAGCCGGGCCAGCTGAACCCAGGTTTTTTAGTGTGCTTGTTACTGCTCCCCTCCTCCTTTTTCATCCGGGCTTGGGACCAGCAAGGGCGGAGTTTTAATCTTAGGCTCACCAACCCAGAACATCTCTGCAATGTCTCAATTCCCATATTAGGAGAGAGCTGCCATTAAAATACATATATAAGACTACCATACCATCAAATGAGGATGGAAGATGCAAAAGTCCCTGTCAGAAGGTATACAATATTCTTTTTTTAGGAGAGAGAGAAATAAAGGCTTTTAAGAAGACCATAAATACAGAACCAAAGAAGAGGATGCTTCAATTTTTTTTCTTTGGTCAATGTTTATGTTAGGATGTGATGCTTGGACAATAATCAGGGAACTAGATCGGAAACTAAACATTTTGATATTAGGTGTGATATTGATTGTACAATCCTCAAGACAAATGGACAGACAGGATGACAAAGAAGTCTGGAGAAGATTTAATGTAGAGTATAGAATTCTAAGTGAAGTAATAAAAAAAAAAGGGAACTTGAAGAACGTGTACTCTGAAGATCATTGAGAGATTGTCTATTAACCATACTAGAGGGATACACCTCGGAGAATGAAGGTAGACCCAAGAAAGATTGATTTGATACTCTAATAGAATGGTCTGGGATTTATATCTATTTAAAAACGTAACCATATACTGTATTAGAAATACAATACATTCATACATGCCATGAGCAATCCAGCCAATGTGCAACCACCTTTTTAAAAACCAAAAATGACCAAGCCAACCAAAACCAACATCCAATGAAAAACCACTTCCAGGAGTATCTATGTTTTTCAGGTAGCGGTCCTATGCAGTAGTTGCAAACTGTTTCAAAATAGGGGAGTTTCAAGAAGTTCATAAAAAAGATGGATTCTGTGCTTCCATTTCCAAAAGAAAGAACAAGAAGGTGATGGCAAGCTGCCAACTCTGTCCCAATACAATCCTCCTTTTGTCTGGGTTGAAAAGTCATCACCTCCACCGCTCTCTTCAATTCAAGAAAGATCATCCATATGGAGGAACAGCTCTTTCTGTAGCCCTCTTTGACATTCTCCCCCACACACTTTTTTTAGACAATATTAAAATAGGGTAACAAGGCCACATTAGATGACTGTTAGTGATGTTTCACTAACACCATTGTTACTTTCTTCAGGAAGAAAATGTCACCAACAGTTTATTAATTTGGATGTGATCTTGTTACCTTGTGTATCTAATCTAAATTGTACCATATCATAATTGTGGGGATTTTATTTTGAAAGCACAATAGACGTCTCTCTCCTTGATTTAAAATGTAAACAAATTAACTGGCATGCATCATTTTTCTGCCATAAATGGTGTTTTATCGTCTTACGTGTATATAAATTTAAGTTAAACTAAAACCAGATTTATTTGACCCTCTCTATTACCTCTCTTAGCCTTTTGGCTAAGATCAAATGATAAGGCACTGTGGGGGCTGAGAGACTTCCTTCCAGCCTGCTTTGAGCACCCTAATTTTTTAAAAGTAAAATTGCCAGAGAACCCGATCAACCGGTAAAAGCCAACCGGGCCCACCAACGTGCTGTCGGCCCCAACGATTGACGCTTTGCAACGCATCGAAGGGAGCGCGACTGAGATCCAACTACGAGCTTTTTAACCGCAACAACTTTAATATACGCTATTGGAGCTAGAGTTACCGCGGCTGCTGGCACTAGACTTGCCCTCCAATAGATCCTCATTAAAAGGTTTAGAGTGTACTCATTCCAATTGCGGAGCCTCGTTAGAGTCCCGTATTGTTATTTTTCGTCACTACCTCCCCGTGCCGGGAGTGGGTAATTTGCGCGCCTGCTGCCTTCCTTGGATGTGGTAGCTGTTTCTCAGGCTCCCTCTCCGGAATCGAACCCTGATTCCCCGTTACCCGTAACAACCATGGTAGGCGCATAACCTACCATCGAAAGTTGATAAGGCAGACACTTGAAAGATGCGTCACCAGTGCTAGGACTGTGCGATCCGCCATAGTTATTCAGAGTCACCACGACTATCGGAGTTGCCCCCGTTTGGTCTTGGTCTTATAAAAGCACCCTCACCCTAAATGGGACGAGGGCTCAATTGCATGTATTAGCTCTAGAATTACCACAGTTATCCAAGTAAATGTGTACGATCTAAGGAACCATAACTGATTTAATGAGCCATTCGCGGTTTCGCCTTGCTAGGGCGTGTACTTAGACATGCATGGCTTAATCTTTGAGACAAGCATATGACTACTGGCAGGATCAACCAGGTAGAGGCACAGTTCAAAATAGGTGGAATTATTCAGGAAAACACTAACTTTGAAATACTTTCTGAGCCATCGCTGGACTAATAAATCGACACACCACAAGCCCCCACAGTACCATAAATGGAGGATCCCACCCTGGCCCTTTCTTCAGAACCTAAAGCCGGGAGCCCTGCACCCCATAGCCTAGACTGCTTGACCATTTAACAATCCAAATTAGCATTGGCAAGCATGCTCTAGTGAATTCTCTTTTGTAATCTTTTGTTATTTTATAAGATGCCTCAATAAAGATTTTGCATTCTCTTTAACAACATCACAGCTTAAACAATTGGAACTTGTGGTTTAGAATTATTATGCTATAATGATGGAATAACACCAAGTTGGCGTTATAGAGAAGGTTGTTATAGCGAGGTTCACTGTAGGTCAGATTACCTGGCTTCATGTATCAGTTCCCCTGCAAAATGTACGCTACAAGCTACACTATTGTGGACTCCAGCATCAATGTTCACAAACTGTTGTTTGCAATGTTTTATCCATGTATACAGGGTGTACCAGGTAAATTGGGAATTTCAACAATGGTATTTTAACTGAAATTTTTTGCAAGTAAAAATTAAAATAGGATATAGTTTTTATTTATTCAATGTAGTTTCCATTATTAGCTACAACAGTCTCGAGGCGAGTGCGGAATGAAGCACAGGCCTTGGCGACGATGACCTTGTCCATTTGGGTCATCACCGTGTGAACTGCTTTCTTGACAGACTGAATGGTGGTATGAGGAGCTTTGTTGACATCTCTCTCAACAACGCCCCATACATAGTAGTCGAGGGGATTGCAATCTGGAGAATTAGGGGGCCAAATATCAGGACCCCAGTGACTAGGGACGTTAAGTGTCAGCCACGATTGTGTCTTTTTTGCCTTATGGGCTGGAGCTGAGTCCTGTTGGAAGACATACTTCCTTCCTGCGGCCACCATGTCCATCCAAGGCTTCACAACGGTCTCCAGAACATTGATGTAGGTGTCGGCGTTCATCCTAAGGCCCTTCTCAAAGAAATGGGGAGGCATGACATCACCTTCACTGCTGATAACGCCAAGGACCATTACGGAGGCAGGAAATTTCGTGTGCATCACGACAGGTATCTCTATGGGGTCTTTACAGATCCAGCGATCATTCCTGGGATTTACCTTTTGGTCCACGTCAAAGTTCTTTTCGTCAGAGAAGAACCTTAGCATGCCAAAAGAGTCGTGTTTCAGGTTGTTGAGGAGGGCAGCAGCCTTTCCTTTTCTGTTATTCTTCATATTCTCAGTCAGCAACTGACCTTTCCGAAGGGCATAAGACTTGAGACCAAGGTCCTCATGGATAGTTCTGACAATTGTCATAGAGCCAACGTCCATTTCCTTGGCTATGGCCCTCATGCTCTTCCCAGGGTTTCCATCAATCTTCTCCTTGACATTTTTGACAAATTCTTCGCCTCTTACCCTGTCCGATCGACGCGAGTGCTTTTTCCTTGTAGCTATCCCCTCTTTGTTACTGTCGGCCTCATCAAACTGCTTCTTGACACGATAAATAGTGGTTTTGGGCAACTTAAGAAAATCCACTATCTCTTTGGGGCTCCTTCCGGCGCGCAGAGCAACGATGATGGCAGCTCGATTTTCAAATTCTCGGTTACTCTTCATCACTACACTGCGCACACATGTACTGTTGCATTTTACATGAATATGGCTACGTAATGAAAAAAAAAAACCAAGTTTTTAATCTCAAGTAGTTTTTGTTTTATGGACTGTCAAAGTTAGTCCCAATTTACCTGGTACACCCTGTATATTCAAACTTCATCACTTCAAGGGGGTGTTGAATCAATCAGTCAGTTAAATTAAAGTATAAATACAGTGAATTGATTAGAATTTGCCCAAAAAATGGTTAAATCAGTGAATTAAAGAAGTGAGCTATCCCCGAGTATTAAGTTTCACTCCCAGCAATTCTTTCTCAGATTGAGATTTAAAGCTTTATTTTCAAGGTAATTTTTCATTATTATACACTCATGGACAAAACTTAAGGAAGTTGTACCTTCTAGCATGTATATCGAGATTCATACAATAACTCTGAAAGATATTTGATACACAATGACCTTTATTGAAGACTCACGAGAAAACCAAGTGTGAACAAAATTGCCTCTGTCTCCTTAAAAAAATACAGATAATTGGTGACATCAAAGACTTTCCACTTCCTAAAGTTTTGTCCATGAGTTTTGTACTTTCTCTTAAAAATTGGATTTTATTTTCTGATCAATGGTAACACATGGTGGATGTTTCAACTGTATTCAGATTAATGTTCTTAAAATTAAAGATACTATTGTGTTAACACAAAGCAATAACGCGCCATGAACGCGTTATTGCTTTGTGTTAATTTATGCCTAACTGGCCTTGTCTTTATAGTTTGCTGAAGAGCATTGCTTGAAGCAAATATTTGAATGTAATTCTACTGTCCTATAAGCTAATGTCCATAGTTTACTTGAAAACCATTTCTAAGATTCCATCCTTCAATGTAGCATATAAAAGCAGAATGATCCAATACAGTATTAGAGCTCTGAGAATCGGTCTGGTAGATTAAATTGGCGAAACCGCTGGGAGGATTCACCATGAGCCAAGCCCTCCCAATATATTTTTTCATCGCAGTAAGGACAGTAGAAGTTCGTTTTATGTATAAAAGAAACATTCACACTTTTAAATCCTTTTATTTTATATATACTATTGTGTATTGACAACAGAAAATTGTTGTCATTGACTAGTTTATTATTTATCATCATCATCTTACATGTACTTAATATTTACTTAATAAAGAACTATCTTCTTGTTTCACCTATTTGCCTCTCCTAGATCCTACATGCCATCGAGGATATAACAGATACTTCGGCCAGTAAATATTTTTATTATCTAGATATTTCGACAAAAATATTTTGTCCTCGTCAAACAAAAATTAAACGTTTGGCAAGGCGTTAAAATTATTGTAAGCTTTAACACCTTGCCAAATGTTTTAATTTTTGTTTGCTCCTGACAAGGACAGAAGATTTTTGTTGAAACGTCGAGATAATAAAAAGATTTACTAGCTGAAGTATCTTTAATTCTAAGAACTATGAATGCTGGCCAGGCAGCCTCTATCTTTACCATAATCAGAATGATGTCACACACCATTAAAGTGAAACCAAATTCAAATAGGCATGAGGTTTCAGAAACAGAATTTCTACATTACCCAGTTTAAAATTGGACCAGATGATGACCATGTTCTAATGATTCAATGAGGCTCAAAATTGTATTAATCTGACATAGCTAGCAATTGTTTTACCAATTTACAAGGCCACAACACCAAATTATTGAAATGTCTCTGATGTTTTAGTAACAATCCTGATAAAGCATAATTTGGATTAGATTATAAACACAAGGTAATAAGACCAAATCCATATAAATAAATAGTGGTTGAAGTTTCGGTGACAACACTGTTACTGAAATGTCACACACTATTTATTTATTTGGATTTGGTCTTATTACCTTGTGTTTATAATGCTGTTATTAAATATTTCAATCATTTTGGATTTGGTCTTGTCACCTTTTGATTCTAATATAGAATCCAAATTATAACTTATCATTAATGTTATCAATTCATTTATGAGTGGTTAGTTATAATATTTCTCATCTAAAATCCAGATTTGATTATTTTTAAATGATTCCAAACAGTTATGTTTGATCTCTATCTAGGTTGGCCTGCCTGTAGGAGCACTTTAAACATGTGTGACCACCTTCCTGAGTATAACTGCTGCCATTAAATCAAGACTTTGCAGAAGTATGATATGGTATGATTATAGATTAGAAATGTATGGTAACAAGACTATATCATACAGTGGAACCAACCTGTAAAGGACACCTAATTTCAGAGGCAAAGTGTCCTTTAGGGAGAGGTGTCCTCTTACCAGAGAGTTTCTAAATATTAAAAAAGGTAATTTTGCAAATGAAAACTGTCTTTTGTAGAGAGGTGTCCGCTAGCGGGGTGTCCACTAAAGGGAGATTCTACTGTATATAAAATAATCACTAATAGCTTATTCATTTGGCTATGGTATTGTTACCATATGTTTCTAATCTATAATCCAAATTGTATGTTATATAGTGTTCAGTTTATTCACCTGTGCTATTTTTTCATTTAGTATTATTATTTTTTTAATCAGCCAATCAGCATTTAATGTTTTTTAGCTCAGTGGTTGCATTGAGCATTTGAGTACTCTATTAAATATAAAATTGTGGAGTTTGATTCTCAGAATTTCCCCTTTTTTTTATTTTGGTGACACTAAAATATTATTTATTTTTGGTCATTCTATTTGTGTGTATGTTTTAAAAACAAATTTATCTTGAGGTTTATGATGAGGTACAATTTGGAATATAGATTAAAAACATAAGGTAATAAGACCAAATCTCCAAATAAATAAATAGTGGCTGACGTTTCAGGAACAATGCTGTTACAGTAGAACCTTCCTTTAGCGGACACCTCTCCACAAAGGACAGTTTTCATTTGCAAAATTACCATTTTTACAATTTAGAAACTCTCCAGTAAGAGGACACCTCTCTCTAAAGGACACTTTGGCTCTGCAATTAGGTGTCATTTACAAGGAGGTTCTACTATACCAAAAAAGTCCACACTATTTATTCATTTGGATTTGATCTTATTACCTTATGTATCTCAGGGTTTATTTATGAATACTATTGATATTCAGCTTTATTGTTTTATAGAGATCTGACACTTGATCTCCCCACATTCTGTACCCCAGTATATTTCAGCAATAGTTCCACATGATGTCCAACAACCTGTGGGTATAGGGATAGCCCTGACCTACCTCCACCTGGCCAAGACCTTGGGAGTCCAGCAGTACATCGCCAAGGCCCTACCTTACATTGAGCGGCCCATGCTCAATCTCAAAAGCAAGAAGTTTTCCTTCCTGGGGGGTGATGCCGGGCTGATCTGTGTGGC